CATTCTCTCCTTGAAATAACTGAACAATTTCTTACTGGAAAAATGCCCGTTATAGCCTATCAGTACCAAATAAGCTGGGAATGGAATGGGTCAATATAATACTGTATGTGAGATGCCGTTCACTATTTCTTGTTTTCTGTTGCTTTTTGCTGAGTTATTACACAGAGAAAGCAATATAATAGGTTACAATTAATTTTGGATCCATGATTGTATCTCCATAGTAAAGATTGGGACTAAGTTTCATTATAAGCCTTACTTCTTGCTTGTACACCTTCCCCACCCTGTAATTTTAGCTAGGAAAATTTTGATATGGTCTGAAACTTGTCATATATGCTTCAAAGAAAAAATTCAAATAGAATTTTGTCTGAACTATTTTTTTATTTATTGTATTATGTAGTAATAATCTAATTTAAGTGAAAATAGGATTGGGCCTCTGGACTTGGACAGACAGAAACAAAATATTTTAAAAATTAAGGTTGCTTAATTTTTTACCTACTGTGCAGTATGTAAAACAAGGAATGCTACAGCTCTAAAAATATTATGACTCAAAAGTGTAGGAAGGAACAGTTATGCAAAGATAGGTAGCTATTCAAATACACTCTTCATATTTTCTGTAGTACATGTCAGCGCATTGTAGGTTTCAAAAAGAACATTAACTCTGCCCATGTATACTTCTCCAGTATCCGTATACAGACTATATCCATCTTACATCCATCCATCCTACATATTTTGAATAAGGGCCATAAAGTGTCACACAGAACCACTCGCTCACCATGCATGGCATAACCATAATCCATATTATACATTGCCTGTATATTATAGATCAGAGATGTGAATGCCTTTTCTCTTACCTCCTCCCCATAAAAGACTGGAGACAGCACTCTTTTAAAGTGAGATTTTTAAAAATTCCATGTCTTTCATCTGCTGCTGTAAAATAAGTTAAATAACAATATCTTAATTAGTACAGAAAAAAAGCAAGTTTTTGCTTATTTATCCTAAACTGATGCATTCTTACTTCACAGAATGTCCCCTGTGAATGGAGTCTGGCGCTATCACTGGAAATGGAAGCTGAAGCATCTTCTATATTTATCTACTATCTACATTATAGGTGTGCAGGATGTGGGTAAGTGAGCAAATTATCATGTCTTTCATATAGAAAGATCCAGGCCCAAATTTGATGATTAAGAGGTATTCTTATGTCTGTCTCTACTGTGCATTTCTGTTATTTTCCTAATTTAATATTTTGATCCACTGTAATGTGATAATTTGAATTATATGCTTGACACATTCTTCAGATTTTTCTTTGTAAGTTCTTGCATCTTTTTCAATTTTTTGATTCATTTCTGCTTCAAAGAATAAGGTGTGATCCTTTAATATTTTTTTCCAAATAGTGGGGTGGAAATGTGTGTGTATAATGTAGTGATTCTTCACATCACAAATAAGTTGATATTAAAAACTTTAAATATAAGATGATGATGAGTAACCTTAAAATATTTTGTGCACATGCAATCTGAATAATAGAAAAATTGCTTCAAAAATCCATCAGAACATAGACCAATCAATCGTGTGCAGTGCATTTAATTAAAACTCAAACCTTGTCAGTGTGTAGAAACTGGTGAGTGTAGAAATTTGTAATATCTTACGATTGTTATCAGTAAACTGAAGACCCAAAGATTTGATTTAGCAAATGCATTTTCCTGACCATCAGTGCAAACAGTATTTTAGGAGTTACAGCTGCTTTGTTGGAAAAAAACCTCTACAGTTTACTGAACAGTTCTGGAGCATAAGAAAACCTTGGAGCAGGTTGTGGCATACTAATTCCATATCAAATGGGCAATTTTCCAATTACTGATTTCCCGCTGGAAAGACCATACTAAATATGAAAAATAGAGTGAAATATATAGAGATGTTCTGGATTTTTAAATTTAGAAAGTACTGAGCTCTGAAATTTTATCAGAGGTTATGTATTTGTTAAAGTGTCCAAGCTACACATTCATAGATCCAAATGCACAATGGTTTAAGTGATGTACTTTTAAAAAGTCTATAAAATATTATAGACATAAGTCTACATTTGGGGCCAGATTGTCTGCTGTGTCTGAGTAGTGCTCAGCACAAAAGGAGTGTGCTAAGGTCTTATTTGAATCCCCGTGATCTTGAGCTGTCCAGCTGCCAATGAGATCCTTAGTATAAAATAAACCAACTAAAGAACTGTTCTAATGTGTCTGGATGTGTCTGAATGCTGAGGCATAAGAATGTGTCAGACAGTCCCTATAAACTGGTCCTTGGAAGGGTCCAGAGCCACTACAACAACTCTGCACTGCTGCCAGATCCCTCGCTCGGAGGGGCTCATTAGCCAGTGGCTGTCTACACCAACTCTATGGCTACTTAATATCAATGGAGTGGGAGAGAGAAGCCAAAATGCCCTTGATAATCTAAGGGACAAGATAGGTGAGATAATATTGTTTGTGGAACCAACTTCTGTTGGTGAGAGAGACAAGCTTGTGCACTTATGCAGTGCTCTTCTTCAGGTCACCATTAGAAGTTGGTCCAATAGAAGATGTCACCCACCTTGTCTCCCCAGTATTCTGGGACCAACATGACTACCACAGTGCATATTTCTTAACTGAAAATTTTGTTTCAAAAACCCCTGATCTGATACTTGTCAATTTTTGTGTTTCTGTTTATTGTTTTTCCTGGATCTTTCAACTAAAAAGAGAACCAGGACTCAAATGATCTTTTGACCCCTTTATTGCTATTGGAAAGTGAATGTGCATAGGCAGGAGTTTTCTATTGTACATTATTTTTCAATTAATGGAGCATCAGATCATCAGACACTTTAGGTAGTAGAGATATAAGATAGGCCAGGAATATCCAAATTCCATAGACAGATATGTTTGCTGTTCAGTGATGAGGTAAGTCACAAGCATCCTTTGTTGTTAACACTCTTTTGAAATGAAAATGAGACATTTGCATCTCCAGTGATGTCATTTTATTGGATCTGTCTTCAGACCCTTGGGTTTTCATTGTTAATGCTGTCCTTATAACCTGCAGGTGTGTGTGTCTCCTTTGTTAGGCTATAATCTAGAGCTGCAATAGACAGACTTCCTCTCCCATTTCTTTGTACTTTTTAATGGTTTTGTTGTGTGAGGGGTACTAAGCAGCTGACACCAGGCCTTTTAAATCATTACAGATTATCTTTGACAAGTTTTTTCTGTTAATAAAGATGTATGTCATTTTGGTTTTGGACACACATGGTACCCAGAATATTAATGTAATCTTAAATACTATTGAAGTTAATGAAATAGAACAGTGATTTTCAAACTGTGGTTTGGGACCCATGCCTCATTTTAATGGGATCATCAGGGTCAGCATTAGACTTGCTGGGACCTGGGGTTGAAGCTGAAGTCTGACCCCCAGTCCCAACACCCTGGATGGCAGGGCCTAGGATATACTCGCTCCCCCATGATCATTAGTAACTTTCTTCCCAAAAGGGGGTCACAGTGAAATGAAGTTTGAGAATCTTTGAATCAGAATGAATACCTATAAAATAGTCACTAATGATCTTTCATCTCAGAAAGCTATTGATTTTTTGCATGTTGCATATCAGAGGCTAGATATGTTCAAATATAATAATCATATGCCTTTTTCATGGATTCACTATAGGGCTGATAACAGAGTTTTTAATCAGGGTGGCGTAAATCCATCCTATTTATATAGCTGAGAGACTCTGGAGTCCTTGGCTTTATATTTGTGAAATACAAAAGTTGGTCCCCTGAATGCTGGCTACCTATATTTTGGTTCAGCATTTGGGAAACTGGGAGATGCAGATACATTATATCTCATGGTATGACTATTCTTTTCTATAAAGACCCTGCATTTGGGAAGTGACACAGAGTGATTGGCATAATATAAGGACACTTTTAGTGATGAGATATAAAAGTTTGTCTTTTTTTTTACACGTCTTAAATAAGGCGGAAGTAGTTTGATATAGTGAAGTAAAAAATGGGGGGGGGGCGGCATTTAATTGCCTTAGAAGCATATAAATAACCTTTCAACAAGAGTTCAGTTAGATCACTTTTCAGTTGTGCTAGTTGTGAATACATAGGAAGATGTATGATATTTAGGATAGGATTGATTCTAGGGCTTTCAATCACAGTTAATGCAATCAACTCAAAAAGCTTATTCGTAATTAAAAAATTAAGTATGATTAATCACGCTCTTATACCATAGAATACCAACTGACAAGTATTACATATTTTTGGATATTTTTCAATATTTTGATTTCTATTACAATACAAAATACAAGTGGATAGTGATTACTTTATATTATTGTTTTATTACAAATACAGGCAGTCCCCCGGTTACGTACAAGATAGGGACTATAGGTTTGTTCTTAAGTTGAATTTGTATATAAGTCGGAACTGGCTCCAGATTCAGCCGCTGCTGAAACTGATCAGTGGCTGACTACAGGAAGCCCTAGTCAGAGTTGCTCTGCACCTGGCTTCCTGGAATCAGCCGCTGATCAGTTTCAACAGTGGCTGAATTTGGACTCCTGGGACAGAACAGCTGGGGCACTGCCGGGTAGGTCGCCGCAGGACCAACCCGGCAGCACCCCAGCTGCTCTACCCCAGACGTCCCGCAACAAAAGCCTGGCCTGCTGGGGGGGGAGGGGGCG